CTGCCAACTGCTTCTGGCCTCCCGGTCTGCCTCTCGCGGTGGCGTCCTTTGGGGCTGTGCTCACGCCAGCTGTAGAGACGGCCTCGACCCGCTGAGCGAAGCCCTGCCCTCCCCAGACAGACACCTTCACCATCTACGCCATCGACCTGGGGCCCCTCGCCAAGATTCGCATCCGCCACGACAACACAGGCAACAGAGCGGGCTGGTTCCTGGACAGGGTCGACATCACCGACGTGAACAGCGAGACCACGTGAGTAGATCTTCGGGGCTGCCACTGCCAGAGACCCAGAGGGGGATGAGGCAGGCTGGGCCTGCTGAGGCTGGGAGGGGGCTTGGATGATGTCTGAGTGTGAGGGGGCTTTGCAGTCTCTGAGGGTGAGGAGTCTCTGGGGGACGTCTGAGGGTGAGGGGGACTTGGGTGCTGCCTGAAGGCAAGGGGGATTTGGGCAACGCCTTAGAGGGTGGGAGACGGGCGAGGTCTGAGGGTGAGGGGAGCTGAGTGACATCGGAGGACGAGGGGGTCTTGGGTAAGGTCTGAAGGTGAGGGTAGCTCAGGCGATGTTTGGGGGTGAGGGTGACTTGAGTGGCATCTGAGGGTAAGGTGGATTCGGGTGGCGTCTTAGAGTGAGGGAGACGTGGGCGAGGTCTGAGGGTGAGGGGAGCTGGGTGACATCGGAGGGCAAGGGGGACTTGGGCGGCGTCTGGGAATGTCATTGTGCTTGCGATGGTGTCTGAGGGGGACAGCTGGCTCACATCTGAGGGTGAGGGTGGGCTGGCTGTGATGTCTGTTGTGGCGCCCAGGGCGAGCTTAGCCCACGTAGGAGGATGGCCTTTCCCTCCCCTGGAGCTGCCTGCCTGTGATGTGAGTCTGGCAGGCCCTCCAGTCCGAGCTGTGTCCCCGGATTCAGAGACACAGGGTTTCCAGTCGCTGTAGCCTTCCTTGGCTCAGTGTCCTGTCCTGGAGTAGCTGCCTCGGTCTCTCCACGCACACGTGGCTTCCAGTCGTTATTCTAAAGTTCTAGACCAGGAGTCTGGAGCCCTGTGTGAAGACCAGACGGTCAATACTTCCATTTTGCAGGGTGTGGTTGCTGCAGCCACGCAGCCATGCCAGTGCAACACAATTGTGGTCATGACTGACACCCAGTGACCAGGCATGGCTATCTTCCAATGACACTTTCTCATGGGCACCGAGATGTGAATTTCATGCCATTTTCACACGTTCCAGAAGATGTGAATTTCATGCCATTTTCACACGTCCTGGAACACACCTTCCTGCTGGGTACACGGGGAGGTGGGGCTCACCTAATCCCCACCCACCCACCTTGCCAGCCCAAGGGGACACTGAGGCATGGCTCACAACCAGCCCCGTGTCATGGTTTCCCATGAGCTCATCGTGACAGCATGCACACCCTCTCCTGGGTCACCCTGGACGGGCACCCCATCTCTACGGGCTTCTGCTTCCTCTTCTGAGGTGTGGGCGGAAGGGAGGCTGACCCGTGGTGCCCTCTCAAGACACTCTGGCAACCCGTGGCGTCTGGACTTGAAAGTTGGAAGTTCTGTGGACACGTGAGGGTGGGATTCACAGTGCCCCCCCACCGCGTGCCCTCGCGGCTCAGCTGGGTGGGCTGTTCTATGCCAGCGAGCTGGCATTCCTGGGTTTTACTTTCATGGCCGTCAGTGCTCGTCCTCTTTAAAAATACAAGCTGTTCTTGCCTTTTCCAAATCAAGACATCGAGTGTTCTGAAGACAAAACCCTCTTGGGGCGTAAGTGTGTGTGTGGAGAGTTGTGTGTTTGGAGCAAGGTTTGCCCGGCACACTCTGCTGTGTGTCCGACTGCTCCTTTCCGGGTCTCGGTGAGGCGCTGTCACTGTCTCCAGAACGGCTATGCGCTCGTGTTGAGTTTGGGCCCGGGCGCCATGGCTCATGGCCCTCGTGAATGGAGTCGTCTGAGGACTCCTCTCCTTCCCCCTTTCTCCTTTTCCTTCCTCCCTCTCTCCTCTCTTTCTTCCCCTCCCCTCCGACTCTCCCTTCCCCAGCCTTCTCTGTCGAGGTCGCAAATGTGTCTTCTGCCGCTGGGCTGTGTCCCGAGGGCTCCGTGGTGGGCTGACCGCAACAGCTTTCAAGCCAAGAGCTGCTCTGAGCAAAGCCTGCTCGGAGAGGCAGAAACATGAGGTTCAGAAGAAACAGTCGGAAGAGCGAGGCTCCCCTTCCTGGGAGAGATGCCACTGACCCCGACAGTACCCAGGCCTTCCCCGGCTCTCGTGAGCTGTGTTAGCTCAGGAATAGGCCTTGGCCGCCAGAAAGAGTCGAGGGTCGCAAGTCAGCCCTCGCCCGCTAGCCCCCAGCCTCTGTGCCACTGGACGTCCTTGACGCCTCTCTGCCCCATCCCCAGCCTGTTGGCAGAACCCGCCGACCCTTCCTTCAGACGCACCTGAGTCCAACCCCATCCCCCATCCGTACCACCCCCACACCCTGGTCACAGCCTCCTGCCTGGTCCCCTGAGTCACCCAGGCCCTCCTGCTCTCTACAGCAGCCCAGTGACTGGCATCACGCCCCCCTCTGCTCAAAACCCCACAAAAGCTCCCCTTGGGGCACAGGCCAAGGCATGCCCAAGGCTGCTCGGTCCACAGGGCCTACTCTGTGCCCCTCCTTCGCTTTCTGTTCTGGTCCCCCGACCCACTTTTCGCTGTTCCTTGAACCCAGGAGACACAGTCCTACCCCAAGGCTTTGCACTTGCCATCCGCGCTCCCTGGCACGCCTGCCCCCAGGGCCTCACCCTCCTGCTTCCCTCAAGTGGGCCTCTACTCAAATGTCACCTTCTCAGTGAGGCTGGGCATAGCCCCTTCCCTTATTCCTCTTCCTGTTTATCTTTGTGTCACGTCTCCTCTGACCTATGATCAGCTGGTGTATATAGTCACTGTTTTTTTGTTTTTGTTTTTGTTTTTGAGTTGGAGTCTCACTCTGTCACCCAGACTGGAGTGCAGTGGCCGCTCC